ACACTGGTTTATGGCCTGTGTTTCACACGGATGATCAAGATGCTGTGCCCGAAGAAGGCCGGGGTCTTGTGGGAAAAGGTAGCCCCGCTGCTGTATTTCAGCACTGGGAGGATTGCAGCATGCGGGGGAGTCCCACGCCGGAGCAGCTCAGGAAGGGCTGCAGCTATGGGAGGGAATCCAGTTGGAGAAAGTTGGTGACCCACAACGGAGCAGTGTAAGAAAACGCTGCGGCCCATGGGAGGGACTCATGTCGGAGAAAGTTTGTGGAGGACTGTCTCCTGTGAGAGGGGGACCACGATGGAGCAGGAAGAACAAGTTCCAGACACTCCCCTCACCGAAGATGAAGGAAGTGGCAGCACTGACTGCACCCCCCATTCCCTGCCCCTGCGCCACTGGGGGAGGAGGTAGAGATATCGGGAGCAGAGCTGAGCCCGGGAAGAAGGGAGGGGTGGGGGGAAGGTGTTCTCAAGATGTGGCAACGCTCCTCACTGTCCTACTCTGTTAAGTGTTGTTAGTGTCTGTAATAAATTTATATTCTTTTTTGCTTTCTCTAACGAGTCTGCCTTTTGCTAATCACCATAATGGGTGATTTGCCCCTCCCGGTCCTATCTTAAACCCCAAGCCTGGCTCATCTGTCCCTTCTCATTGCCAGAAGAGAAAGAGGAGTGAGTGGCTGCGTGGTGTTTGGCTGCCGACCAAGCTTAAACCACGACACACAAAAAAGCTCCTGGGATGACTATAAGGTCTCTTCCATGGAAAAGTAGGGTTTTTAAAAGCTGTTGACTATTTTCCCCCAAATCAGAAAGGGTAGTGTATTTTTAGTAAACCTGGGAACACACATATTCAGCTTAACACAGTAAAAGGCTATTCGGTAAACAGGCTACCTATATATATTCCAGTGCACGACTCCATGTTATTTATCAGTTACACAAATGTCAATCACTAGCCCTCACCAGAGCAAATGGTGCGCTGCACCACCCACCTCTCATGTCTTCAGTTTATGATATTTTAAGACTGGAAAGGAAATTAGTTCCACTTGCATGAGCCTTTGTTTGAAAGTAATAGTGCACAACAGATTTCTGTGGGCATAGGGGACAAAGAGAAAAAATACTAAGTGTTGAAATTCACTAACCCAATACACTCATGATGATACAAAGACTAGCATCACTAGTGTGAAGAAAGGTCAGAGACAGGCCTATCATTTATGGAATTTATAAATAATTAATTATTAGAATACAAAATAAAATTAATGAGGACACAAAACAGGAAGCAATTTGCATACCTCCCTGCACAGCACTCTCAACAAAGCAAGGAAGCATACAGATGATCTTCCCAGTTATTCAAGATCACTTTATAATCAGTGCAACCATATACTCTGCTGTGCTATGAAATCGACCGTTTCCCTAATTCACAAAACCAATGGCATTACAAGATGATAATAAAGTACGTCAGACTTCTACAGTACAGAAAAGAAGGGAGAGGAGAAAGGACCAATTTAATTTATAGCCTCCTTAGTTTCTTTCAAGACTTCTCAAGCAACCAAAAATCACATACTCCTATTATTGCAGCACAGGAAGATTTACAAGATGTAAATAAATTTTTAAAAGATCCATGTGCACATCAAACTAACCTCTGCCCCTTTCAAATTTATTTATGTGCCCTTGATCCACACACGAGTAGTCCATGGTGGCAGCTTCAATGAACTATTCATGCAGGTGAACATCCCTCAGAGAAGCAGCTACCCCCTCAGCTTTTATAGTTATTTGTCTCTCCATCACAGAGCTCAAAGGAATAACCCTACCACATATTTCTTCTTCGCTTATTTTACTAGGTGAGGTGTTTAAGAGGATATATGGTCATCTGGAGCTCATCACTGTCAAATTTTCAGCCATGCAGCTGTAAAGGGTAAAGGAACTAGTTTAGCCCCTTGGTTTACAAAGTGCTGAGTACCTCCAATGAGGTGCCAAATGTACGTGGTGACACTTTAAGATTGCTTAGTGCCTCCTGAGGTTCACAGGGCTGGATCCAAAACCCCGGTGTTATGAATGGCAGTTCTCCCCTTGACTGCAATGCGCCTGGGACAGAACAGCGCTTCACGCCTCAAGCCTGTGCTTCTGAGGCAAGCAAGATTTGCCATATATTTAAGAACACAGGATAAGGTTCCAGTCTTGAGGAGCACTGGAACTTAGCGTTCCTACCTCCAAACACTTAACCCAGAGTAAAATAAATACATACATACATATCTATATAAACAAACAAACATTCAAGACTACCTTAAATATGTTTTGGATCAGGTACTTATTTTCCATTGTTTTAATCTGACATACATACAGGCAGCAAAATTCTCTCCAAACCCTTTAAACCCATCCTTCTTCCATTGGGCTTAGTGTATTTCTTCCACTTCTTCTAATAAATAAATAAATAAATATTCTACAGACTGTCTACAAATCATTTTTCTCTGGAAGCCTTTGTTAAAATCAGCTCTTCTACTGGAAGCATGCAATAAAACAAAGCTAACAAGAAAAGAAGGTGCAAAAAAATGCTGACAGTCATACTGTAAAACATCCAGTGCAAAAAGACTGGCTGCTCTCATTTGGTTTAAGGCAGAAAAGGGTCTTTCATTGCCAGGTCACTCGTTCAAACCCAGTCTTGCCTGACAGTAATCACCTGATGGCAGGCAGAGTAATAAACATACTTTTAAAGTAACTCTGCAAAAGTATTCTTTAGAAGGTGTAAACACTGTAGCAAACGTCTCCAGGCACTCATAATGAGAGTATCATCCTGCAAGACTGAATTAGTGGACAGTAACTAAGCAAACAAAAAAGAACTAAGTTGCAGCAAAGACTAACCACTTTCTTTTATTCTGACAGTTGCCATTTATCTTTGCTTTTGAAGCGGGTACTTGGTCGTGTTCTAGTAAGTGAACTGTAGCACACTGTGAAAAAATAATAACATTTTAGCAATACAAACCCTCACTGCAGCATCTGTTATTAAATCTTTGCAGAGGCAAGCAGAGACCACTAGTCATAAATGTGGATTAGCAAGGTTCTACTATATTCGTTTTAGAGTGCAGAGCGCTTTGCATGAAAGCTGTTACTTGCCTTTTATGTCAAAAAATGAACTTATGCCAACTTTTCAATACTGAATTCTTCAAGGAAGTAGTCCTAACAGCCTGCAAGCACTGTCCACAAAAAAAAAAAAAAAAAAAAAAAAAAACAAAAAAAAAAAACAAAAAAAAAACAGCTGCAGTCTCACAGCAGAGAAATGGAGGAAGGACAGTCAGAATAGCTGATGCTGCTGATTTGCAACATTTTCTTTTCACAGAAAATGGCCATCATCTTACGCTTCCTTCCTGAGCAAATCAAAAACTGCCTCTGAAAGTGTCAAGCTTTATGATCCTGACTCCAACTCTGACACCTGATTATACAAGAGCATTAACACAAGCGCTCGGTGTGCTCAAGGGAATCACTGCATCCTCACCAGTGGAGCCTTAGCAGCTCCACATCCCGGGTAACTCCCTAGCAAAACAGGCAAAAAGCAGGACTTGGGATCGTAGAGAAAGGATGATATTTCACAAACTTGTAAGAGGTACAACACAAGCTCTCTGAATGGAGACAAGTTTAAGTAAACTTTATGCTAAATTCACAGAGTTCAAGCAGAGTCAGAGCTTAGCTGAACTGTAGGAAAAATACTCAAGAGTTTTCCAGAAACAGTAAAATCCTCCAGGAGAAAGTTGATCTTGAGCCTTCATAATGATATTTTCTGCCTATGAAGTTACACAGACAGTGCAAGGTGCTGTGTAATATTTACCTATGACACCCTCTGTTATGATATAATGTTTCAGTGAAGGATAAATTAGAAGTGGCAAATCCCTGAAACCACCCGTGCAAATACACACCCATTAATGGGTCGATACATGAAGAAAGGACGACTCGTTGAAATTGAAAATGAGTTAAAAATAGATTATGGGCCCTCACCGTGACAGCTGCTATCTAAACCAGACAATTAAATACTAAAGGCAAGGCACGCTGCTTTAACTGCGAAAAGTTGTGAACGCCGCTGCTCTAACGCACTCACAACGCCGGTCCCACCGCGCGAGTTTTCTCCACCGATGAAGCTGCAAAAACCCTCGGAGAGCTGCTGCTGTGCCCGGACCTCTGCGGGACCCCCCGCCCCCGCGGGGTGAAGCCCCGCGCCGTGCGTGGGAAGCCCGCTCGGTCCCAGCGCTCCCCGCGCACCTCCCGCGCCGGGGCGCAGGTTCCGCGCCCGCCAGGCCGGTGCCCCGCGGGGCCTTCCCGCTCACCCCCACCTCAGGCCCGGGGCTGGGTTTTATCTGATATTTTGTTTGTTTGTTTGTTTGGGGTTTTTCTTTCCCTGGCGCTTGAGGCAGAGCGCGGCGCGGGAAAGATTACACGGGGATGACTGAACCGAGGTGAATCGATTAAGCCCCGACAATTTTATCTGGGACTTTATGAGGGGCTGAAGGAGATAATCCCCGCGCCGCGGGTCGCCCCCTGCCTCTCCTTCACCCGGAGACCCTCGCAGAGCCCTCGGGGGCACCGCCGATCGCACTCGGACACCGCCCCGCCTCGCCGGGGTCAAGCCCTTCTGCTCTTTTTCTTCCTCCTCCTCCTCCTCCTCCTCCTCGCAGCACGGCGCACAGCGCGCACCCGGCCCCTCTGCGAGATGCGCGCTCGCAAACTTTCCAAACTTCTGGGGAAGTGGCGGAGGGTGCGCGGGGCCGGCCCGACCCCGGAGGCGCTTCGCCTCCCGGCGGCACCTCACCGGCCGTCGGGGCTCCGCTCTCCCCCAGAGCGGCCCGCGGGGACCCCCGCGCCCCCCGGCCGGGCAGCGGGAGCTGCGCGCTCCGGCCGCACCGAGCGCAGGCTGCGCCCCGCAAGTTGATGGGGGGGGGGGGGGGGGGGGGGAGCAAGGCAATGGCAAGGGCAGGGGTAAGGGCAGGGATCCCCCACCCCACCCGCACTGCCCCTCGCACTCACGCTGCTGTTCTCGCCCGTCCAGTGCACCATCGCCTGGTTGTGAGACGCGTCCCCCTTGAGCACGAAGGAGGTGCTGACGAGGGAGACCTGCTCCCGGCCCGCCGCCGAGGATGCTCTCCTGGAGCGGCTGCCCCCCGCCGCCGCCCCGCCGCCGTGCCGCGGCTCCGGCGGGCTGCGCGCCCCGCGGGTCAGGGCTCCGGGGCGCTGGGGGCCGCAGGGCTCCGCGCAGCGCAGCGCGGCGGCGGCGCCCAGCAGTAGCGGCGGCAGCAGCAGCAGCAGCAGTAGCGGCGGCGGCGGCGGCGGCGGCGGCGGCAGGCGGGCGGCCCCGCGCGGAGCGGCGGCGGCGGACACGCGTGGCCCGCCGTGCGCCATGGTGGCTCTCCGGCGTGGTAAGTGACAGGCGGGGAGGTGGCGGGGAGGGAGACACCGCCGCGGAGGGCGGGGGCGGGGGAGGGTTTGTAACCGGAGCGGGGCTCGCGCGGCAGCGGCGTGCGCGGTACTGCGCGCCCAGCCGGGGCGGCGCCGCCATCTGCTGGCTCGCGCCGAAACGCCGGGCGGCGGCGGCGGCGGCGGGTCTCGCAACGCGGGGTCACGCCCGCGGCGCGGGTGGAGCAGCGGCGTGGGACGGGGATCTCCCCGGAGAGGCGGAGAGGAGCCGCCCGCCCCCCGGCACGGCACGGCCCGCCGCCTGGGAAGTTTCACGCCGGGCGCCCGGGAGGGGCTTTTCGAGAGCGCGCTGAGCAAAATTCACGCAGCTCATCCCCCACCCCCGGGGCGCTGAGCGGGGAGCAGGCGAGCCCTGGCTCTGCCGGCACGGGGGTTGGCCTTGGTTTGGCCGTTCGTCCCCGGAGGCTGCAGCGGAAAAGTCAGAAGGGGCCTGTTCGGCAGCAGCGGGAAGCCGAGGAACGAATGAAGCAGGTGCAAAAAAATACGATTCTTGTGATTAAGACGAAAAGTGCTTCTATGGAGAACGGGAGCCTGTCCTTTCTCCTGCTCCTCGGCTCCTAGGAGGCACCGGGCTCCTCACCTGCGTTGTCCAGAGCCGATTGCTAATCCAGTATTGCCCACTGTGGGGACATGTGGCTTGTAATTTGTGACTGACCCATGGAAGCACCAGGAGATGCTCAAGGCAGCGTGGTCGCAGCCAGGAGCGGCAACAACAAGGTCTGGGCAGTGTGGCATAACTCAAAACAGACAGGTGAAGGGGTGGAAGAAGATTTAGGCATCACAGATTGGGTGTTCTTGCAGCTTGCTGTGTAACTGTGACTAAACTGGGGCTTGCGAAGCGGTTTGGTGATGTGAGAGGGAGTGGGTTAGAATCGCAGGGTGACTGGGGTTGGCAGGGACCTCCGGAGGATCCCTGGTCCAACCTGCTGTGCAGACCTGGGCCAACGCCGAAGCTGAATCTAGCTTCACAGTAAAATAAGGTTGCTCAGGCCTAAATGTCAGAAAACACGTTAGCTGACTGAGGGTAGTGATGACTCCAGCTACAGGCTGACACGTTAGATGCCACCTAACAGAAGAGATCTGGGCTGGGTAAAGTTAGTAAACCAGCTTTAGTTGTAATCTGTCTTCACCCTAACATCTTAGCAAATTAAGATTACAAAGGCTTTTCTAAGAAGATTAATAGAAAAAATAGTGTCCACTAGTTTAACTATACCATTTACAGTCTGGGGATGATTACCATAATGACCTCAAGTAACCTGGTCATCCCAAATTCATGTAAAAATTACTTTCAGCAAGCTATATGATTACATATTAGCTGTACACCTTCAGTGCTAGGAGACCTATGGTGACCTGCCCTGTTATTACTATAGTGGCTCAAACTATAAGGCAGCTTCAAATGCAGGATGACTCTCACATTTCAAAAGGAATAAAGATGAAAAATAAGTTTTAAAAAATCCCATGTGCTTTTTCCGCAGCTCCCAATAAAGCCCTCTTTCAGAGTTCCAAGCGCAGTCCCACAGCCTCCAAATGGCCTCTGCGCAGCCGCTCCCCTCGCTCCTCCAGCACAGTGCCTGAATTAAGAGAAGAAATTTCCCCTCCTCTGGGAATCTCCAGCTGCCAGTTTTGGAGATTCGGCCCCAAACGCCCTGCCAGCAAGATCCCAGATAGCCGGCAGGCAGCACTGCCTGGCCCCGCTCACCAGAAGCTGCCCCTGGGACTCCTGAAGGGGCTGCATATTCAGATCATTAGTGAAGCACTTTGCATCTTGTGTAAAAAGCAAGGACATTTTCTTTTTTCTTCCCCAAATCTTGATTTCTGGAGACAATATTGAAAGCTCAGAAGGCCTAGGAGAAGCTATAGGGAGCTGTCTAAAGGAAGTGAAACACAGGTGTGAGATGAGAATGATCTCTGCATGCAGTTAGTTTCCTCACAGTGTCTTACCCCTCTGAAATACCACCCTTGTGAGGGGAAAACCACCAGGGTTTAAGTGGGCAGAAAGTTCTCCCGAAAAAAACCCTTGACTCTTGCAAACTGGTCTCAGTGACAGCTGGTGGTCAAATGCTTGTTTGAATTATTGCTGTTTGGACGTGGTCTTTAGGGGTGCAGATATTAGGCAGTGATTCATTCACTCACAGAAGATCCACAAGTGGAAAAGCTTTCCTGCTGGGGTAATATTTGCATGTTGAGTGTGTCACCTTCCATCTTTTGCACCTCTGCACAAAAGGGAACAGCATAAAAATGCAGTGCTGAATTATTAAGAAAACACGGACCAACCACAATCTTATTGACCAACATGAATGGTGACTTGGTCATTATGGGGAAGTGAATAATTTCCATTCTGACATCATGGCCTATCTCCCATGAAATTGGGAATATTACTCAACATTTGTAGAATATCCTAAAAATACTTAGAGCAGATGTAAAGGCCTGAGTCCCTAACATTAAAACTGGCACACAAACACTAATACTTCATCGGAATTAATACAATTGGGACTTTGTCATGCTTATCCATTTTGCATTCACCACTGTATTCCACAGGTAGAGCTCCCAGTAAGCAGCAGATAAGAGAAGAGAGATAACACCCACATTCTTAAGAGTCAAGCTCTTTGTATTTGTCAGTAACTGACATTTCCCACAATAAGACTGAAAAAGAAAACCAAGCACTATTTCTAGAACTAATGAAGCCTGGATTCCTCCAGCCATGCATCTTACAGTCAACTGCAAGGTCTGCTTGAATCTTTTCCCACTATCAGAATTCTTGCCCATGTATCTTCACAGGAACCTAACAAATCTGCTATTAAAGTCGTCCTTGTCTGCCCAGTCACAAAATTTGCCATTTGTTTTTGTGACCTCCCCCTGTTTTCCAATTTAGTTGAAATTGTCTTACAGGTTCAGAAGATGTTGACCAAGGTGGATGGTCAGACACACAGCTCAACTGATCGCTCACTGACGAAGAATAATTTGCACAGGCCCATTATTCTTAGGCAAGTCAATTAAAAACCTCATCTGAAGGAAGCTAAAGCAGAGAGAAATTGATGTAATTCTTATTTCTCTGTATGAATTGTGAGATTTGAATACATGGGAATGAATCACTCAACCTACCACTGTGCTTGTCACTAATTGAATCCCTTAGTGTCAAGCTCTTAAGAGGTCAAGGATTAAATGGAATTGAAAGTAACTGCTCTATTTTCCCCCCTTTAGAGATTATCATAACCAAGACAGATGTGTGGGTAATGCTGTGAAAATATTTGCACCATCTCTTGTCTCCACAATAGATGTTCTCAGGATAAAGAGAACTTCTGCCACTAAGTGAAAGGCTTTTACCTGGCCACTTCTTCAATCGCTGTTGAAGCTGTTTTTACATCAACTAGATTAATACACAGTAACCGAATCTTGCAATCCAATAAAAAAATGCATATTTCATGTATCAGTAATTCACAGTAATAAAATGTTGTAACTTTAGACTAGGGATATGGTAGCAGCAACACCTGTATTGCATTATATCACTACTGTGTATACTTAATGACAGTGTAGTCTCAAAAAATGAGTATCAAGCAGATTGGATGAGAAGGCTGAGATCTTCAAAACTGGAAAGGAAGTTTCATTATATAACTCCAATTAATGTCATCCAAATTCCTGTAGCTAAATCATCTAAGAATTGAAACCATGTATTTGTTTTGTCCAAAGTCAGGGGACCACATCACAGATCAGGGTCCAATTGCATTAGGTAGGTACTGTACAAAGGGAGGAAACAAAGGTTGATCCAGTTTCATAGAAATGTTTGGTTATGCAAGGGACAATCAAAATAACATACTTCTAGTCCAAAGCATGACCAGAATACTTACTTCTTACTCTGTTGTGACTATTCCAGCTGAAACACCAACAGAATAGAACAGAATTGCTACTGATTTTTCTAGGTTTATTAATATCAAGCATGTTAATAAAGGAAGGAAGCTAATTTATAGACCAGCACATATAATTTTGTCTAGAAAGCCCAAGCAAGCTAAGTGATTTAATAGACCAACTCTGAAAAGTGAAGGGCTTTCCCCTTTTCAAATTTGCTTAACTGGAACTTTTTAAGGGTTGCCAAAAACCTAGTTTAGACTGAGTTTAAGGATTCCTAGAATAAAGAGTCTTCCCTAAATTTGTCACCTTTTATGTCTCCTAGAAATGCTGGCTCAGCAAAAACACACAAGCAGACAAAAAGACAAATAACCTAGGATCAGATACCCCTGAGCTCCTTTAGTCCCATAATAGAAATAGAAAAAGCTTGAAAAAGAATTAGTGTGTTGTAAATCCAAGGCAAGTTTCTTCCTGTTAATGGCAAAATTATGAGTGCTTTACTAATAAAGTCTCCTTGCATTTTTATTGACTGTCGGATTATATTAAGATTAAAAAGGCTTCAGTTAACCCACTTGATTTTTACCAGGTTCATTCCTGATGAAACACTGAAAGTATTACAGAAAGCTGCAAGTTCTTCTAGAGCAGAAACCAAGATGCAATGCTAATATTCCTTTTGCTACTGGACATAATAAGTACTCTTGCAAATAAAAATATTAATAAGAATTTGTTATATGTTTCATACTCATAGCCTTCTTAGGTTGATAACACAAGATGACCACAGATGTGCAATATGGTAGAAAGTCACAGAAGAATTACCCATTTAAGCATGCTCCATAC